AGATATACCAAAAATTACACTGTCAAGATATACCAAAAACAAAACAATAAACATAAATAGTAGTTTATTCTTGAAACTAAAATTTGCAACACTGTTTTTGTCTTTTGGTTGAAATGAAAATCGCAACGAGATAATGAGAATCGCAACGCGGAAATGACTATCGCAACGAGAGAATCGCAACGCGAAATGACTATCGCGACCAGACAATCGCAACGCGAAATGAAAATCGCAACCGCGAAATAAAAATCGCAACGCGAAATGAAATCGCAACGCGAAATGAAAATCGCAATGCGATTTTGGTTTCGCGTTGCGATTTTTATTTCGCGTTGCGATTATCTCGTTGCGATAGTTATTTCCGCGTTGCGATTTTCATTCTCGAAACTATTCTTCTTCTGCATTACTTCAACCAAAAGACAAAGCAAAGACAAATACTAACTTCACAGGCTAAACAGTTTAGCAGTATTGGCAGCAATCGAATGAATTTAATAAGAAATCTAAGTGAAATGGTTAATCTATTATTGAAATTACCAGTAAACTTATCATCAATCTCAATATGAAAACCTAAAATAATGCAAAAATTTCAAAATAAAAATAAAAAAAACTAACCCTCGGAGGTTGATTTTCCATTTCTGAATGATTGTGAGGGATTTTTGACTGTGAATGGTTGTGAGGGATTTCGCCGGCGATGGGGACGGAAATCTTCGGAGATGGGGACGGATTTCGCCGTAGAGAGTGAGAGATGGAGATGGGACTGAGTGTTGTGTTTTTGGGTTTGAGGTTATGAGTTGCGATTACTGTGGACGGTTCATTTTCCGATTTATTAAGAAAAAATACGTGTTTGGAATTTGAAAAAAAAAATACGCGTTAATACGAATGGCGCTATGTAAATCGCATTGCGAAAGTCAGTATCGCGTTGCGAAAGTAAGTATCTCGTTGCGATTTTTTATTATCGCATTGCGATAGTCAGTATCGCATTGCGATTTTCCCAATTCGCGTTGCGATTTACTTATTCGCATTGCGATTTTCCCAATTTGCGTTGCGATTTACTTATTCGCATTGCAAATTGGGAAAATCGCAACGATACTGTAGACTATCGCAACGCGATTTTCAACTATCGCATTGCGAAAATGCAACGCGAATTTGCGATCGCGTTGCGAATTAGCGATCGCATTGCGATTTTGTTGGTCATTTTGGCAAATCCGGAAAAAGTTGGTTAAAATCGTATATTATATGGGATTTTTGGTCACTGAGGTTATTTTCTCTTATAATTAATGCCTCTAATTTTTGACAATTTCATAAAATTCTCAATTTCTCATCCCTTTCTCCATCTCTCTCGTTAATTCATTTAATTTTGAATTAAATCTAATTATATTTGTCTTTTTTACAAATCTTATTTTTCAATTTACCAAATATTCTTTAATTCTTAGTCTTCTTCAATCTCAATCTAACGATAACATAATATGCTATTCTTTATTTTTTTAAAATTTTTTTATTCAGAATATTACTCCATATCATAATTTATACCGATATTCAATTTTTTATTCTATTATTTGTATTTAAGATGTTTTCTTAACAAAAGAATAAAATTACTATTTGAAAAAAGTTTAATAATTTTCCTACGATATTAAATTAATTGTTTAAAGTAATGGAGTATATTTTCCTTCAATCAAGGCATATTTTTTTTTATTTTTTCTTAGGTGCCGAAAATATTCGAGACGGCTCTGTTTCCTGGCACCTAGGGAAAAGTATATCAATCGCAAGAATTTTATTCATTGGAAACAAAAACTTATCAATTTAGAAAGATAAGTTTGGTATAATTTCCCTATAGTACTAGGAGTGAGTATTCGATTGAGTTGAATTAAAAAATTTGAGTTAGTCGAGTTAACAATTTATATTTTATAATTTGAACTTTATTTTAAGAAAAAAATGAGTCGAGTTTATGAATTTGAGTTTGAGTTTATGTTTAAATTTAATTATAAATATTTATAATATTATGGTAATAGTTGGTTTCAATTTAAATGATTTTCTATATATATATATATATATATATATATATATATATATGATATACATATATCATATAGAGTTGATATACTCACTTAGACTTAAGAATAAATCAACTACGTTAACAATCTCTAAAGTATGTAGTTAAAAGCTCCTAGTTGACCCTTCATCTTTTTTCAAGTTGTGGATTCAATACATATTAGGAGTAAAATTCCCTTTCATAAATAAGAATTGTTAAAAAAATCAACTAATTACTAAAAATTTTTAGTTATTCGAGTTTTATTTATAACTTGACTTGAATTTAAAATTATTTCGAATTGAATTAAATTTATAAAATTATAAGTGATATCGAGTTTAATAGCATTAAATTGAAAAAAAAATTGAATCGAGTTGATTTTTGCTCATTTATACCTAGGGTAGTTGGGGTTGCCACTAGTACAGTTTGCTTTGCTTACATGAGGATGCATTAACAGTTTTCGTAGTGCAGATTTGGAAATGCATTTCCTGCTTCATGTTAATTAATTGAATATTTGTTTTGCATTTTGGAATTAATAAACACTAATAATCTTGGGCACTTGTCAAAACATTTGTGATGGTTTTAAAACATAAAACATGCGATGATGGGCAACAGCTGTTACCATGTCCAAAAGGTTGACTTTGTTAGACGCTGTCAAAGCCCACTATTACATTGATCTGTGGGGGAGTTCTTTCCTCATGGACTTTGATTGGACCACCATGGCAGACAGTAACTATTCATCTCCCTCATTTTAATATTGCTGCTGTTGTCACACATTTAAACAACTTAAGCATACAAATATATTTATTGCAAATCTAAGATCATGATGTTTCTCTAGACTTTAGGCTCACATCTTTTGTAATATTATATCTTTTTATGAAGTCTTTCATGTGATTTCCAGGCCTAAGCTTTCTTTGCATGTATTTATATGCAGCATATCCCCTTCTTCATTCCCATCATCACAATTCCCAACACATTTTTGTCTGTATGCGTATCTAAGCTGTGAACATGAAGCAAAGCTTCTTTCTGGTCTTCTTCTTCTTCTCTTCGTAGTGTTTCTTTTCTCTTCTTCCCATTTATCTGCTCGTCTCATAGAAGACATACAAGGTGAGTCTGTCTTTTGTCTCTCCTCGTAATTATATTTAGTCTCTTAGAATCAAATCAGATCTTTTTACTGATAATGAACCTAAAATTCAGTAACTTCTTTATATTCAGGAAAAGAAGAGGTGGAGCTTACTCAAATCACAGATAAGGAAGAAACTGCACTGATAAATGTAATTTTTAATCAACTTTGGTCTCTATCCTACAATATTTTGGCTAAATATTTGAGTTGTTGTTTTGTTTTCCAATGCTTTGCAGCAACTATTTGGGGTAGAAGCTTGTGATACTGGAGACGATGAGTGCTATAGGAGAAGAATGATCTCAGAGGTTCACTTGGACTATATTTACACCCAGCACCATAAGCCTTGAAGAGACTATTCCCACGAATATTATTATCATAAACCAAGGATTGAAGAAAATATGTCTGCTTTTGTTCTATGTATAATTAAGCTCTTCTGGTTAAGGTTTATGATCGTATGTATGTTAGTCTAAGCTTAATATGATGATCAATGTAAGAGTTAAACCCTAACTATGTAGCTAAATGGTTTTATTTTCTATCTTTGTTCTTATCTATCTATTTTGGTGAGTGGTGACTATGGGATTAAAAGCAATTAAATAGAGACAGTTGGGGGGATTTAGTGACAGATTTCAACTGCATTTGTTCACCTTCAGCGGTTGAAAGTTCCATGTTAAAGGCCTAGAAGTGGCTGAAATTGCAGATTCCAACAGCCTGCATTAAATATCTTTTGACTGTATTAAATATCAGTATCAAACTGTGTTATGTTGGTTGAAGGAAGAAGAATCAATGGCGGTATCTTGTACAAACCAGGTATTCAAACAGGTTTAAAAGTCGTTAATATACACACACATATATGGAAGAGATTAATGCTAATTAAGTAATTAACTAGTTCATCCATTTTCAGACAGAATGATTAAAAGCAGGTGAAATCATATAGGGTCCATTGCATTTGATTGATTGATACGATAAAGTGTTCAATTCATGGAAGCATTACTATTGTTTATTGTTTTTGTATGAATGGATGATTGAGGGGCACACCTGTAATTATCCTCCCTGAATAGGGCACAAAATGCATACAAATCCTTGTCCACATCTCAGTCCGTATGATAATTGGCAGATAAACTACACGGATGGTCACTAAAGTTTGAGTATATTTTCATTTTTCTTATTAAACTTTTAAAAGTATATATTAGTCACTAATAATTGATTTGTAACAATGGGCACTCCACCATTATCTCCATTAAGTTGATGATATGAAAAAATTAATAAAAGATTAATATTTAGTTTTATCCTTAAACTATTGTTAAAATATCGAACAAGTAATTGAAATATATATACCTTTAACTTTTACCCATATAGTTGAAACAAACCTCCCTCTTCTTCCTCGCTTCTATTTACCCTCTCAATTTTGTCTCTCTCTATAATTAAGTAAACATTTCCCTTTTTAAAAAATTCTTCGTTGGATTTTCAGTTAGTTATACCGAAGTTTTCTTACTGAAACTTCTCGTTCACACGCTTTGATTTTTGGGTTTCATCCGTCAACTGCCATGTAATTATCACTCTTTTCAGTAACCTCAGACTTTTCGATTTCCTTGAAACTAACACCGCCTGGCAATATATCCAGACCCGAACGCCCGTATCGACCTCTTGATAATTGCTATCGCTCTTGCTGTCTCAAAAAGGACTCTTTCTATAATAGAGAAACCACCATGAGAGATTTACAGAGAAACACTTCAAAAGGGACAATAAAACACAAACTGAGCTCATTACTACAATTTGTGATTCAAACTTTAATCTAGTCAACTCATTTTTTTAATGCTTGCGGTGAACTCCCCATGGCATTTATTCCACTAAATGAATTGTTCAACAATTTTTGCTGTATGCATCTTCCTCAGCCCCTCATTGTCGTCTAAATGTCTTCTCCTTTAATACCTAGAAAAGATGTAATTTGTAAAATATATAACTAGTAACTTCTGATATGAAAATATTGAAGTGCCTCAACTCACCAGCTTATTAAACCGTGTTTCCAGTGTTGCATGCTCCCAATAGTTTAGTTTAGCTCTAATCCCAACATAATACCTAAAATAAAAGCAATACGATTATAGTACTTTTACATATAATATCTTGTTAATTTCTTCTAATTCAGTATTTGTCTTCTACAAGTCCTTCAGCTGAGATACTAAGCCATTAACATCCGCCCGTAGTAGCAATTAAACAGTATGAGAATTAGAATGTTCAATATAATAATATCATGCAAAAAACTTCTTATTTCAATGCAACAAATCAAACCAGAATTTTTAACATCTCGAGGCATGAGAATCTAAACCTAAGCTTCTATGACATTCAGAATTACTAAAATTACACCATATGAAAAGTAAAAATTAAAACAGAAATTTATTCTCCCTTCAATTAGTTCAATCTTTAAGAGACCGAACAGACAATCAAGGGTAAAATAAAAACTGAGGAAATTTTACGTAGTCGTTTTCAGCCAACGACTCGACATATTCAACATTTTATAAAAAAATTAAAAAAAAAAAGACAGAAAATACCTCAGAGAGTCGATTTTTGCTTCCCGGTTTGTTCTGGACTGGAATATCTGCTATCTCAAACACTGAAAACAAAATCTTGAACAAAGCGTGTGAATGAAGAGTTTCAGTAAGAAAACTTCGGTATAACTAACTCGAAATCCAATGAAGAATTTTTTAAAAAGGGGAATATTTACGTTATAGAGAAGAGTGTGTTGAGAGGGAAAATAGAAGTAAGGAAGAAGGGAAGGTTCTGTTTCAACTGTATGGGCAAAATTTGAAGTTAGATATATTTCAAGTACCCATTTAATAATTTAGCAAAAGTATTAAGGATAACATTAAATATTAACCTTTTTGTTAGTGTTACCACATCATCAACTTAATGGAGATAACCGTGGAGTGATCGTGTTGTTACAAATCAATAACATTAGCGACTAATTTGTAACTTTTGAAAGTTCAGTGAGGAAAACAAAAACTTACTCAAATTTTAGTTACATTCATGTAGTTTACCCGATAATTGGTTAAAGTGTAAACCAGATCACTCGCAAGTTTAATCCAAGCAAGAGACGTTTGTTAATGCTAAAACTTTTGTTGAAATCGATGCTTCACTGGGAGATGGCTTTATTCTTTTATGTTGCAGCTTCAATGGCTTCCTCATAAATGTGCCTCTTGCAGTATGTTTGAGTATTTAGGTAAAATTTGCCAGAAATACATGTATGGTTTCTACTACAGATTACGGGTTGCCAAAAATGTTGATAATACAGTCCCTTAAGTCAAAACAAAGTTGCTGCGAATTAGATTTGAGTGTGATTAACATTGCTTTTGACTATCCAAGATATTCTAGTACTTCAAAATAATAATGTTAACATAAATTTGCACAAACCAACTTACCTCAATAGTTAAATAAATCATTGTTATTCCTAAAGGTCACAGGTTCGAGTACCAACGACTGCAACATAGTAATTAAGTGTTCATTGTCAAATGATCGAAAGTATTTAAAACATATACTACTTTGTAATTAAAATTAAGCTTAATTATATTATAGATGAATTATTGCTTCAAAATAAAGCTGCCCTGATTGATATAATGGTCATCACTTTGAACAAATAACATATATCATATCATCATTTTGTATATATAACATGTGTCACACTATAACTTATGTACATGTAATATGTGTTATATCATCACTTTGGAAACAAATAAAACTTGTCACTTTAATGACAAAAGTTAAGCGTTCAATTAAAAACTCTCACCATTCAATAACTGTTTTACCTTCAAATGAAATGTCCAGAGTTAAATTATTTCAAAAAATAAAATAAAAATAACTATTTTATCAAACATTAATATTTTTAACATTATACCTTCAATCTTATATTTTTTTTTCCATTTTTCAGTCATTTTGATTTTTGATGGTAGAAAGGTATAATTAAAAAATAAGTGTTCAAACTATACATTTTCCCTAAATAGGTGTTTAAATTTTTTTTTTATTAATCCACGTGTCTAACATTACAAGCATTACCATTTTAGGTGTCTGGACCATAACGGCTATTAAATTCTGTCGTTAAAAGACACACATCACGTTTAGGTAATTTTAAAAATTTTATTTAAAAAAAAGAACTTAAAATTATATTTAAAAAAACTCCAATATTTTCGAAATTCTTTAAAAGAAACTCCGAACTTTAAAAATTTTAAATCTAATCTTTATAACAACGCCGTCGCTACCCTTTACCGTTGTTGTTACCATTAACTAAACCTATAGTCGATCGCACCTCTACACGGTAAGCACCCACGCGAAGAACAACCACCGATGACAATTTAAATCGATCGATGGTGAAACATTTGGGGAAATAATTATGACATTTGTACGACCCAACAGAGTGAGCGACAACAAGGACAATGTCGGCTGAAAAGGGAGGCAGCTTCAGCGTCACCAACGACAATGGTAGCATTAATCGTGGCTAGGATTTGGTGTTGATTTGAGGGATTTGTGACTTTTTTGTAATTTTAGAAAAATTATGGTTTTTTTTATAAATATAATACTATTTTTAAGTTTTTTAATTTAAATAAAATTGTTAAAATTTTAAAAAGGCACCACGTGTCCTTTAACGACATAATTCAACAATAATTATGGCTCGAACATTTAAAGTGGTAACGTTTGTAATGTTAGACACTTGAATGAATCGCAAAAAAGTTTAAACACCTATTTAAAAAAAATGGTATAATTTGAGCACTTATTTTCTAATTAAGCCTAGTAGGAATTATGGAAACTTCTTATCTTTAAAAAGGTAGAAGTGTTGGGAAATAAACGATAACAAGTAATTTCCCTATAACCAAATTAGTGAGAATGCGAAATAAAAGCGGAAAAATAATACCCGAAATTGATAACGGAGTTCAGCTAATTTTGGTTACGTCTCCGGACTGCTGCAGATATTTTACTAAGATAGAAAATTTACAGGTGTTTAAAAACACTCACTACTCACAAGAAAGCTCTCTAGTATTGGGAGAAAGAAAATGATTTTGAGATTTGGGATGATTTTGAAGCTAAATGAGCTAGGGTATTTATAGTTGAAACTTAGGGACTAATCTTTAAAAATACCCTAAAGAGAAATGACTAAAGTGAATTTACCCATTCCTATTTTCAACAAACATCTACCAAACTTTACCAAACTTTGAAAAATATTTTTCAAAGAAACATTTACCAAACTTTGAAACTAACTTTTAACAATCTCCCACTTGAAGACTGATTTTAATCTGTCTTCACACCTCGATCAATGCAGTAGTATTTCTGGTCTTGTTATTCTAGCATGCCAACTGAAGCTGAACACAACTTCAGTTTGTCCATAGTCACCGTCTTTGTCAACATGTCTGTCGGATTTTGCTAATCTTTTCAAGTTTCAAAATCCCATCTTCCAGAAGAGATCGGATAAAATGATATCTCAATTGTATGTGCTTCATCCTGAAATGAAAAGACGGATTCTTTGCTAGATGGATAGCACTTTGATTGTCGCAATACAAGACATTTTTTTCTTGTTTCTTGCCTAACTCTTCCAAGAAACTTTGGAGCCAAACCATCTCCTTGCTGGCTTCCGTAACAGCGACATATTCTGTAGTTGAGAAACCCAACTCACTGTAGTTCTTCCTATAGTATAGACATACCCTGTAGTGCTCCTTCTGATGTCAATATTTCCGGCTAAGTCAACATCTACATAGCCTATCAGTATTGTATCTCCACCTTTGAAACAAAGTGCTTTGTTTGTAGTACCCCACAAATATCTGGGGATCCATTTGACTGCTTCCCAGTGTACCTTGCCCGGATTATTCATGTACCTGCTAACAGCTCCCACTGTTTGAGCAATATATGGTCTGGTACAAACCATAGCATACATTAGACTTCCAATTGCTGAGGCATACGGCACCTTCACCATGTGTGCACGTTCTTCCTCCGTCTTTGGTGACTGTTCTTTGGAGAGTCTAAAATGAACACCTAAAGGTGTACTTACTAGTTTAGCATCTTGCATGTTGAACCTGGAGAGTACTTTGTTGATGTACTCAGCCTGTGATAACATCAAAGTCCCCGACTTTGTGTCTCTCTTGATCCTCATCCCAAGAATCTGCTTTGCAGTGCCCAGATCCTTCATAGCAACCTGCTTCGACAATTTTTGATTTAAGTGTGTAATCTCTTGCATGTTTGAGCTTGCAACGAGCATGTCATCAACGTACAAAAATAAAATAATGAAGCTATTGTCGAACCTCTTGATGTAGCAACAATGATCTGCTTGGAATCTGGTAAAACCACTGCTATCCATGAAGCTATCGAACTTCTTGTACCACTGTCTAGGAGCTTGTTTTAAACCATACAATCTCTTATTCAACCTGTATACCATGTTTTTCTTGCCTGCCTCTATGAAGCATTCTGGCTGCCTCATATAGATTTCTTCCTCCAAATCACCATGAAGGAAAGCTGTCTTTACATCTAACTGCTCAAGATGTAAATTCTCTGCAGCTACAATTTTCAATACCAGTCTGATTGTAGACAGCTTCACGACTGGAGAGAAAATTTCATTGTAGTCAATACCTTCTTTTTGTTGAAAACCTTTGACAACCAATCTCGCTTTGTAGCGTTTTCTCCCATCGTGCTCTTCTTTGATCCTGTAAATCCACTTGTTGTGGAGCGCTTTCTTGCCTGGTGGTAATTCAGCTAATTCCCACGTCTGATTTGACATAAGTGAGTCCATCTCATATTTCATGGAAGACTCCCACTTGACTGAATCCTCCACTTGCATTGCTTCATTATAGCACTCTGGTTCACCATTTTCAGTCAGCAATAAGTAGTGCAAAGAAGGAGAATACCGTTGGGTTGATTTACGAATTCTGGAGGAGTGTCTCAGTTCTGGTGTGACTAGTTCTTCTTGAACTGCTTCAGGAGTGATCTGAACATCATTTCCAAAAATTTCCTCGAACTCAGCAAATTCCTTTGTTTTAGCTTCGGTATTGGAGCTACTTGATTCCATGGTTGACCTGTCTTTGTACATCATATTCTCATTGAAAATAACATCTCTGCTTCTGATGATCTTCCGATTTTCATAGTCCCAAAACCGGTAACCGAACTCATCACCGCCATAACCAACAAAGGCACATTTGTTGGACTTAGCATGAAGTTTAATTCTTTCAGCAGAGTCTATGTGTATATAAGAAATACAACCAAACACTCTTAAGTGTGAAAGGTTTATTTCTTTCTTGCTCCAAACTTCCTCTGGTATTCTTTCATCCAAAGGAACTGAGGGCCCACGGTTGATCAGGTAAGATGCAGTGTTGATAGCTTCAGCCCATAAAATTTTGGGCAATCCGGCATGTATCCTCATGCTTTTGGCACATTAATTCAGAGTTCTGTTCATGCGCTCTGCTACGCCATTCTGCTACGGTGTCATGGGAATTATTGTCTCCATCTTTATACCATTGTTTGCGCAGAAATCTCTGAATCTTCTATTTTTGTACTCTCCTCCATTGTCAGACCTCAACCGCTTAACTTTCAGACCAGTCTCATTTTCCACCATGACCTTCCATTTTCTGAAGGTATCAAAAACTTCTGATTTCTTCTTCAGAAAATAAACCCACACATTCCTTTTAGAATCATCGATGAATATGACATAATATAATGAGCCTGGAAGAGATGGAACTGGAGATGGTCCCCATACATCAG